TGAATCGCATCGGGGAGATTCGGAGCAAAGTTCGGCGCTTGGAGCGAAAGATATGCATCGAACAGGGGTCGGGGTTCACCTCGCCCTCCGAGGAGAAGGGCGAGGACAGCGATAGCGGTATGTTCCAGGACGACTATGAGGATGAGGAAGAGGAGGACAGTGGAGGTGGTGAAGGTGGAGACGGTGACGAAGACGCCGAGTGCGATGGACCCGCCAGCGACGACGCGCGGACGCGAGACCAGCATCGGGCCTCGAGGCGCGCGGCAGCGGCTGTGCAGGCAGCGGCTGAGGAGGACTCGGACTGAGCGCCCTCTTGAAGCATATTCTCGTCGTCATGTTGACGGGCCTCAGATTTTCACACACGGCTTTGTATAATATAGTGCCCAATGGAAGTGATGTGCAGGTGTTTCGAGTTCGCCCAGCAAGTGTTGTGCGCCAGTTTTGCAAGCCGCCTCAGAGCGACACAAATACGCACGATGTGTGTGATCTGCTTTGCGAAAGTACCATCACATCGAAATCGTAAATCGAATGTCGACGTTCGAGATCTGATGTTGGGCGCATGCTGTGGAATTGTATTAAACCTTTCTGGAGCTACCATGGGGGCGTTTGCCGACAGACGGCATCGTCTCCGATCCCCCCCTTCCCGCTCGAATAAGCCGGCCCCGCCCCCTCCCATCGCGACCCGTCATCCGCTTCGAGTCGCGTGAATGCGGGACTTCACTTGCGGCCCTGTGTCTGCCATCATTCTCTGCGCCTGTGCAAGTTTGTGTTGCTGCCGAAGGTAGCTTGCCAAGGTGCATCAGAGTGCGACAACGTTTCGCCCTCCTTCCGAAAACGCGCACCGCTGCGCGCGCGAGGGATGTGCATCGATGCCGACACGTGTGCATATGCATACATATATGGATATACAAACGCGCATGCATGCATACATATATGCATATACACATACATGCATATACACATGCATGCATACATGCGCACGCGCATACATACATACATGCATATACAAACAAATAAAAATATTTACACCACAACGTCTTGCATTCACCATGCATATGCATTCTCACGCGCAGTCTCTAGTATCATCGCAGCCGTCGTCATCACCATCGCCATTCTTCCACATCCGTTTCAGGTTCAGCGTTGTGAACATGAAGTGGGGCGCACCCGCCACGATCGATATCGATGATGAGACGAGGATGCAGCTGCGGTCGGAGCTTCTGGCCACTTCGTGGGGTTCGAAGGCGAGCGTCGCCCGCATCCTGCAGACGCTGAATAGGAAAGGCATGCTTAGGGACGAGGAGCTCGGAGGACGAGATGAGCTACGCCAGTGCAGGATAGCAGCGGAGATGCATGGCCGCGCGAGGACGCCATACGGACCTGTTGTGCAGACACTGGATGTCCCAGGCATCGGGCCGTGGGAATATGTACACCCATTTGCGCTTCTGCACTATATGTCGACTATCAGCGAAAAGTTTGCCAATATGCTGTCTGATGCGCTCGACAAGGCACCTTTGTTCACTTGTAGCTTGGTGTTTTACGGTGACGAGATGACGCCAGGCAGCCCTTTGAGATCTGATGTTGGGCGCCAGTTGTGGAATTTTTATTACACCTTTCTGGAGCTACCAGGCTGGCTCCTCCATGAACGGGGGGCTGGTTTTGCCTGGGCGGGGTGCGCACCAGGCTGGTGGAGAGGATTCCTGGGGGAGTGAGCGCCCTCTTGAAGCACATTCTCGTCGCCATGTTCGTTGACGGGCCTCATAACTTCACACGCGGCTTTGTAGTTCCCCATGGAAGTGCCGCGCGGGTGTTTCGTGCTCGCCTGGTCGGTTTTATGGCTGGTGAAAAAGGCCACAACGAGTTCTTGGCCATTAAAGGGGCGGCAGGGCTGAAACCCTGCACCTCGTGCATGCACGTGGTGAACTTTATCCGCAAGACTGGCTACGCCAACGGGCAGTACACCGTCGGACTGGACTGCGTAGATAAATCGAAGCTCAAGCAGCTGGACGACGACACGTTCTGGAGAATGCACGAGATCTTGGTATCGCAGGTCGGGCAGATATCGACGTCGAAGGTGGAGGCGCTCGAAACGAAGCTGGGCATTAGTTATATATGAGCATGGGATGCTGTGCGATCCTCGTTTGAGAAGCGTGCTGCGCCCCGTGAGTAATTACATCAGGGATTGGCAGCGCACGCTGGTATCTCATGGCGTTGCGGGGCTTCAGATTGCGGCGCTCACATCGTGTTTGAAGAGGTCGAATATCGATATGTATGGGATTGCCGCCTACGCACGCTTGTACATCCATCCCAAGCTGACCGCGTCACCTCCCAAGCCAGAGTGGTTCACGGAGAACTTCATAGCGAACGACCACGTGAAGCTGTTTGCGAGCGACGTTCTCGGACTTTGCCCATGGTCGCTGGCATTTATTCGGGACAGGTGCTCTGGCCGCGTGCCCGCGGACCACGTTCGATGTTTCGAGCTGTTAACGTTCATGTTGGGGCTCCTATCAGGAGAGGACGATATGACGGGCGCATTGCACGCCGCGCTTTCGGGGGCCATTGCAGAGCACGCGGTACTGTTCCGCCGATTGTACCATACGTTTACCAAGGTGAAGTTTCATCATTTGGTGCACGTGCCCGGCGACCTACTGCGACTGGGTAGGGTGATTTCGTGCTTTGCGCCAACACGGAAACACAAAGACGTGAAGACGAGCGTGGTACATGTTTACAACCAGGTCGAGCACACGACAACGTTTGGATATTTAAACTGTTACGTTGAAGACGTTGTCGAGGGGCGCTTCCAGTTCGACGAACAGTATAGATCGACGTCGAAGCGCCGTAAACTCGATATCGCAGGCATCCAGATGGATACGTCTACAGCGGCTGCGTTGAAGTGCGGTGGCGTGAAGAGGGACGACTACGCGCTCATCCGCACTGGCGGTGCACTTCGTTTAGGTAGAGCTGTGTTGTTCTATGCGATGGGCGATTTCATCACAGTCCACGTGCGGGAGGCTACCGCTGTGGACCCCGGGACTTGGACCACCTGGGATGAATCGGCGACGCCAGACGCGTTCTTGGACCCGACGTCGATTGTCAAGCCCGTTGTATACATGCGCATTCCACCACCGACCGTGAAGATCATCGCGCCTTACTATCATGGCAGGGGCGCGCAGCTGAACAAATAAACAACAAATCGATTGTCGGAAAAAAGACACACATCGACTGTCGAAAAAAAAGTCGGCTGTCGAAGCCGCCCCCATCTCTTCCTCCGTCGTTCATTCTTCCTCATCACGCATTACATAATCTTCCACTCTCCTTCCCCATCTTCGTCGTCGCCGCAGGAGGAGGAGGAGGAGGGCGAGGGGGGGGGGCAGGAGGAGGAGGGGGAGCCCCCCCCCCCCCCCCCCGACGCGGGGCCGCCTTGGACAAGGGCGGCTCTCCAGCCCAGGCCGCGACCCGAGAGAGGCGATTATCTTCGCGCCCCCGTGCGCCGCCCCGTCCTCTTCCCCTTGCATCCATTCACCTTCCCTCCAACATATGCATATATAAATACACATACATATTATACGGTATGCCCATAGTATATATATAGTACAGATATACACATAGTACCTCCCCCTTCTCCTCCTCCCTCCTCCCTCCACCCCCACTCCCCCCCGTCCTCCCCCCCCCCCCCCCCCCCCCCCTGCCCGTCGCCCGCCAGATGGCGAAGCGCGTGCTGCAGGACGCTACCGCAACCGCAACCGCACCCGCAACCAGGCGCAAGGTGGGGGGCGTAACGCGCGCTAGATAAGATTACGACGTACGCTAACGATGTAGATATTGATATTTCACACATCGTCCATACTTTTTGAACATAAAAAAATAAGCTACGAGCCGAGCCGCCTTGCATTGTGATGAGAGTTCTATGGTCTTGACTGTTAATGTACATGTTACCAGCAAAAGCCAGAGCACCATTATTTCAAAATTATGTCGTTGTCGGTGGATCCATAACAAACGCTTTTTTGTTACCAGAGCAAAATCTGGATCACAAGTTCTTAACCTATTTGTTGGTGTTGTGGATGACCAGGTGCCGCAACCATGTTAAAAACCGTTTTTAATCATGTTAAACATATGTTAAACGATTCAACATAAGTTGAAATCGTCGGCTTATAAGTCGAAACAGTTCGACTTAGTAAGTCGAACTACGTCGACTTAGTAACTCGAACGTTCGACTTAGCTGACTCGACTTAGGTCGACTGAGTAAGTCGAAGTAGGCCGACTTAGCTAAGTCGACTTATAATTTGATTATAACTCAATTACTCAGTCGAAGAATTCAGGGCTAATTGAGTTAAGTATAAGTCACCTAACTTGGTTATAACCCGACTTATAATTCAACCTCCTAAGTCTGTTGTTTTTTAGTAACCCAACGAGCTCTAATAAGGCATTAGATGTTGACTTCTAACTCAGACGCTGTCAGCCACTATTAAACGCGCCAAGTTATAACTTAGTTATAACTTAGTTATACCTTAGTTATAACTTAGTTACTAACAGGCGTCCTCAACTTATATCTAAGATATAACCCGCCGTTCACCTCAGTGCAGGACGATGAGGAAGCGCCGTTGCGGGCCCCAGACACAGTAGAAGAAGAAAAAGAAGAACGGCCCGGACGACTGGCGTCCGATCCGGCAGCAACAGCGAGGCCCAGGCACGGGCGCTTCCAGGCGCGGCCGAGCTCGCCCGCGTCGACCACACGGTCACAAAGGAATCACATCCACCACGCATCCTGCGTGTTGAAGCCGAACACGCGGCAGCCAGAAGCAGCAGACAAGTGATTGCGGCCCAGGGAGCCAGCCCAGAAATGGAGCCGGGTTCTGGCATGGAGCCGGCCCGCATCATCGAGAGCGACGCCTCGACGAGCCCGCCTGGCAGGCGGGCCGGCTGCGCGCGACGGATTTAGGTGCGCGAGCGCGCCGTCGTCCGTCAGCGCGTAGATGGTGCAGTCCCTTCTTGGGCAATTACATTTAGCGGCAGCGAGCTGGGCGCGGCCCTCCCGGGCGGCGGAGCTCCGCCACCCAGAGGTCGAGGTCGGCCTGCTCAAAAGCGCTCCGGGCGCTGCCGTGCAGGACCAGACGCTCGCTGAGAGGATCTGCGCCAATGGCGCGCTCCGCGACGTCAATCAGAGGAGCTCCGCCTGGGGCAGTCGTGAAAACATGGCCCATCTGAAGCTTGCTCTTCCGGACTGCAGGGCCCCAGAAGAAAGTCTCAAGCTGGGCGCCCAGGGCACGGGGATGCATCTGCGGCCGCATGGACAGGGCGTGCGCGGGCGACTCCTGCGCCCAGCCGAACATCCGTCACGAGCGGGCGAAGCAGCGAGCAGGCGCCGCGAAGCCCGCGCCGTGCTGCTCCAGTACCTTGATCACCGCCTGCACGAGCATGCCCTTCTCCTTGAGCGCCCGGCTCAGGACGGCGGCCAACGTGCGCCAATCGGGCAGCAAACACTTGCCCGGGCCAGTTTTCACAGGGAGGCGCGTTCGCGTTTGGATCTCGTAGAGCATCGCCAACTCCACGACGCGCGCGCTGCCGTAGGCCTCGCTGGGACGAGCATCGCAGCGATCGGGCCGCGCGAGAGTTCGTCCCCATTTGAGGATGCCATCGTACAACAGCCGGCCGTGGACCAAGTGCTTGCCAGACCGCCGGGGGGAGAAAAGTACCCTCGTTACGCCGCGGGGTGGCGAAAGCGTGGGCGACGCCCTAGACCAGCGGATGCCGCGACGGCAGGTCGTCGGATTCGCCGTTCACGTCAGAAACCGAGCCGCCGAAAGCGTCGTCGCCCTGAACCGGGTCATCTCCGCTGCGCGCGTCAAGCATGCGGCGTTGCGCCGCGAGCTGGGAACGCTGGACGCGGCGCGCCAGGGCCGCGACTCGCTGCACCTCGGCACGAGCAGTATCACGGGCGCCCTCGTGCGCGGAACGGCCCCGCTTGGCCGCGGCGTCGGCTCTATCGCTCCCGCCCCAGAGGTAGGCGCCCATTGCCGTCCGGGCGTCGTTGCGTTCTGTATGAGCCTTGATATTCGTCACCGCCGCGCGCCTGGCAGGGCGGGCGCGGTGGGCTTCGTCAAACTGCAGCCATAAGTCGCCGTTAGGCCGAGCGGCGTAGCATCCTGGCAGGCCGCGGCCTGCAGTTGCGACGCGGGCCCGGGCCTCGTCGACCACAGACTTGTCGTCGACCCAGACACGGAAGTCATGATCCACAGTGGTAGCCAACATGACTAGAGGAACAAGCTCCGCACGAGTGATCGTTTGCACGGGACCTGGCAGAGGAGGGTGCCAGAGGCGCCACCGGAGTGAGCCGCCAGCCTCGCACGCGCGGAAAACCGCCCCTTTGCCGGCCACGCGCCACCGAGCGTCATCGGCAGGATCGGTGGAGCCGTCGCTGAAGAAGTTGATGTGCCCGTCGTCGTCGACATACATGCGCAGAGCGAGCCAGTCCGGCGGGGCCGCGGACGCGCAACTCGAGGTGGGGCCGAAAAATTCGCTTCCGATGCCAAACGTGGCGAGGGCATCGTCAACCTGGGCTGGGTCTGCAATCTCTGGGATGTCTGCCCTCTCCACGCTGCGCAAGCAACACCGTCGACACCTGCGGGAAAGGGTTTCAACCTCGGCACCACAAGGACACGCGGCATCATCCTCGTCACCGGCGATCTTCGCGAAGACCTTCTGCGCATGGACGAGCCCGGCGAGGCGCGCAAAGAGCGCCCCTGCAGCCAGGTCCCCAAGATCACGACTGCAGCCCAACGTGGTGGCCGCGTCGACGCGCCCCAAGTTGGCCAGCTCTGGGCGGGCAGCAGCGGCGCGTCGGGATGCGTAGTCCGCGGTGGCCTCGGCGATGAGGCACTCGACCTCCTGGCGGCAGCAGGCCAGCAGATGGCCGCGCGCCAGGCCAGAGGGGCCCGCCGGGTGGCCCGGAGCCCAGTCTGCGTCCGACCATGTTTTCCGGAGCAGCTGGATCGGCAGAGCGTCGGGAAGCGATTGGGCAGCAACGCGCGCAGTCAGGATCCCCGCGGCTCCGTTTGCCGCGCCTTGGCCGGACCGGGAGAGAAAGCTCCGCGAGCCCAAGTCTTGGTGAAGCTTTTGACGCCGCCCCAAAACAAGCAGGCACGATCAGGATTGCGCTTCGTCGTCTTGCCCTTGCGGGGCTTCAACACAGCAGACGCGCAGGACGTGAGAGTGCACGCAGTAGTATGCTTGGAAACGCGTGACGCCTCAGCACCCCAGACAGCAGGCTGCAAGGCCCCAGGGGCGATCATGGCAACCTTTTTGGCCCGCGGAATAGACGAAATGCAAGACATATTTGGCCTTGTGGGCTCGTTCAACCATCGTCGGCGCCGCGCGGGCATGGCCGCAATTTCAACGGGCGTCAAGTTCACGCGCGTGGCTCTTGTGAGGGGCCACGGTGCCATTGGCAGCCGTGCACTGGGCGTCCTTCCGCGCGTTCTTGCCGGCAGCCCCAGGGCCATAGGGCCAGGTCCAGCAGGCGCTGGGTTTAAGCTGCGTGTCGAATTGGGCGCAAAAGCGTTCAGGGCAAAAGAAAGCCACGGGGACTTCCGAAGCGGCGCGGCTGAACCACTGGGAGTTGCCAGCCCAATTATTCATTAGCGAGGCACTCGCGCCTTCCACGAGCCACGACATGGAAGACGTAAATCACAAATATAGGAGCGTTTACTAAGAGGGCGTCGCCTTGGACAACCGGCGGCAGCGCGCCTGCCGACCCCGATGCCGCCGCGCACGCGAACGAAACGGATTGCGGAACGGAGGTGGTCCATCCACGCATGAACACAACCAGCGGGGGCACCGAGCTGGATGCGCAAGTAATTGACCAAGGCGCGAGGGATTCTGTCAAAGAACTTGATCACGTTAGCGGTACCCCCCGCCAGAGCGACCCCATCAACCGAGGCTGCCTCGAGCTCGAATGCCACTTCAAGGAAGAAGTCCGCCGGCTCCGGCCCAGGGACACCGCCTTCGATCCCAGGGTGCACGAAACGTGCGCGAGACCAAACGAGCAGCTTGCGCGCAACAGCGCTCGACCAGGCTCTGTAAAGGACACTAGACACGGCAATTTTGCGAAGGGCCGCTGCAGCGGTCGCTTGCTCATGCTTGGGGGTCAGGGAAATGCAACGCAGAAGCAACAATCTCGGCCACTGGCGTTTCTGATTGAACATGGCGAACAAATCAAGCAAAGCTTCCAGGGGCGCATCTGGCAATATGGCAAGCTCTCTAGGGCGCCAACCACAAGCCGAAACGGAAGTCCGGGCAGACATCCGCTTGCAAGCCCCACGGTGCTCGGCAACCGGGAGGTCGAGATCAAGGAAATCATGCTGCTGAATGTTGGCGTCGATCTACTCGCGAGCAAGACTCCAGTCCTAGTCGCCGGAGTGGCGGCCGTGGATTGGGTGCCATCGAGCCCGGATTTCGCCGTCGATCTGCTGCGGTTCAGTGAGCCACGCCCCATCGGGCGCCTGGGGCGTGGACCCCATGGCGCTGGTAGGAGGCCGGGTGGCCTTCCAACGCATCCGGCCAGCGTCGGACGCGTCCTCTGCAAGGGCTTCACGGCACTGCCGACGACGTTCATTCTTCGCCTGCTGCCATGTGGACTTGGCGTGCGCCTGCGCAATGGTAATCGCGTCTTCGATGAAACGCACCGCGGATTTGCCAACAGGGAAGAAGAGGGGAAGAGCAGGATTGCCGCTGCGGGCGTTGGCAGCCTGAGCACGCGGACAAGACAACAAGAGGCGATCCCACCATACATGAAAGGGGAGACCGAACCCACGACCATAGCGAATCGAGCTCCAGAGCTCCTGGCGCCCAGAGTCTGGCAAACGAGATCCGCTGCCACCCAGGACCAAACGCTCGGCAATGTCGAGGGCAGAAGACATGCGACGAAGCTGTTTGATCACCAAACGAGCCTGCATTGTGTTCGGCGAGTCGTTCGCAAACCTATCGCGGCTGTGCGGGCTCGCTCTTCTGACTGGCGCACTTTCACGCGCTTGCCGCCGCGGCCGTGGTCGCGATGGCGAGAGGCAGCGGCGCCAGGGTCATCGCCACCCTCGGCCTGGAGAGCATCAGTCAGACGCGTCTCAGCGGCCGCGCTCCAAGCCTGAAAGCCGGCGCCGACGGCAACGTCAGCAACAGTGCAAATCTCATCAGACAAGCGCGGCTCAGGGCAAGCGCTCAGACGTATCCTGGACACAGCAACAGGATCTACAGGCACAGGAAGCGCACCTGGCACGCGCCATGTGGACAAACGGGCGCACGCGATCTCAAGCAACGGACGCAACAACAGGTCTGTGCCCAGTCCATTCGAGAACCGAGACGTCATGCAAGGCGCACGCTTCGACTGGGCTAGCCCAGAGTTGGTTTATGCGACGGGGCGCGCTGCCAGCCCAGGTGTGAGTGGCCGCGGGCTCGGCGCCATCACGGGTCGCATCGGCGCCGGCCACTTCGACCCATCCACGCAACCGCGCACGAGCGAGGGCGAAGCTCCCCTCGGGCAAAATAATAAAAGTCGCCTCCGATGAGCGCCACTCCGCCATGCTCCTCGGCGGCCTCGAAAGCAGCACCGAGGAGGACTTCGGCATTCTCCTTTGAATCAACATCGCCGCATACAGTCTGCACAATCGCAGTGGCAGAAGCAGACGCGCGAGTGACGGCAGCGGCGACGCGCCCACTGAGGCCAACGCCCCGGGCTTGGTCCGGATGGATCGCGGACATCGGAGTTTTGTGAGCAAGAAGGCCGGCGAGGGACAAAGCCGCGCGCTTCCCAGCATTGCCCCGAACCCGCCGAGCGCCAGGCGTCACAGTACGGGGCTCAAAATTGACTTCGCTAACGCAATAAAGCTGAGCTCCGCACGCAGCCAACATGGGCCCGCCTGGTACCGAATCCAACCCGTCAGGGCTGATGACGGCCATTTTGAAGGCATCGCCGCGCGGAGGCAAAACAGCCGAACCTGGGCTAGGGTTGCCGTGCAGAGCATGACAAATTGCAGACCGCGGGCGGCACGCAAAAGCGAGGCCGAGCAGGCACAAACGGCAAATGACGCCCCTGAGACCACGCATGCTCCTGGTAAGGCTGCTGTCACGGTGTGGGCGCGCAGAGCATGCGTGACGTTCCTTATCCAATGAGACAGGTGGTGGCTGCGGCGTCAGAACATGAGGAAGGGCGGAGAACTCCGGCCGCTCCTGATGCACCGAAGGACCAAAACTGCAGCCAATCAGGGTCAGCATAGCCAACACAAGTATACAACATGAAAGCGAGGACGCCTCAGAGGCCATGCGAGTTCCTTGCGCGATGGAGGCACAACAGAGACGGATGGGAGAGCATTCGTGTATCGCGCACCCCAAGGCACAAGAGCAGCCTTGGGGGTCACGCGCAGATGGTGGTTGCGGCGTCACGGCATCAGGGAGGGCGGACAACTCCGGCCGGCCCCAGCGCGCCGAGCCAAAACTGCAATCAATCAGGGGCAACATAGCCGCGACACAAACATACAATATGAAAGCGATGACGCCTCAGAGGCCATGCAAGTCCCTGCCGGCATGGAGGCATGGCAGAGACGCGTCGGGAAGCATTCGTGCATCGCGCCCCCCAGGGCACAATATCAACATCGGGGGGCACGCGCAGATGGTGGCTGCGGCGTCACAGCGACAAGGAGGGCGGACTTCTCCGGCCGCTCCCAACCACCGAAGGACCAACATTGCAACCAATCTGGGCCAGCATCGCCACCACACTAGGTATACAACATGAGAGCGAGGACGCCTCAGAGGCCTTGCATGTTCCTGGCGCGATGGGGGCATGGCAGAGACGGATGGGAGAGCACTCATGCATCGCGCCCCCCAGGGCGCGAGAACAGCCCTGGGGTCGAACGCAGATGGTGGTTGCAGCGTCGCGGAGACAGGGAGGGCGGACAATTCCGGCCGCCCCTGGTGCACCGAGGGGCCGAAATCGTAACCAATCCGGAACAGCATCGCCATCGCAGGGGTGCCACATGTGAGCGAGGACGCCTTGGCGACCGCACAGACTTCTGGCGCGGTGGGGGCATGGCAAGGATACCTGCGACAGCAATCATGCATCGCACCTCCCCAGGGACGAGCAGCCCAGGGGGGCCGGCAAAATCTCCCGCCATTCAATGGGAACGGCGCAGCCCGCGTGAGTGTGAAGGCACGAGCGATGAACCTGGTCTGGAAAAAAGTGTGAATATGAAGCAACACGACGTGGATGCATGCACTGGCTCATCGCAGGGATGACGCCCAGAACGACATGGGCATGATCGGCACTCACAACAACAGCAAACACTGGCTGCGACGAGACCTTTAAAACATCAGCGAATGCATTATCAACAAGGAAAACGATTCTTGCCCGCCCGCCGGTGGCGGGAAACGGGAGGGTTGACAACTCCAGCCGCTCCTGGTGCGAGGGCCCAGAGCTGCAGCTCGCGCATGAGTCAGCGCTGCAACGGCAAGGAAGACGATACCGCATGCAAGGCGCGCAACCATGCGAACAAATACATGATGAAAACCAGAGCATGGGGCAGACAGATCTTGCCCCTTTCCGCGAACGGGTCGCAAGTCATGAGATGGCCTACCCCTGTTGGTTTGTCAAAGCTCATCATCATCCCTGGGCATGGCCTGACCTGGCTCTGCGGGTTTATCTTGCCCCCTCCGCGGCGTCCGCCCCCGGCGACCCCCCGCAGCGGAAGACCGAGGGATCCGGGGGGGAGGGGGAATAACGGCGGACACGGCCGCAGGAAACGACGGACGCCATTCACCGAAATTGGTCCGCAATGTTTCCATGAGCTCGGACTCAAAGGTGTCAAAACGAGCCGTAGGAGAGGCCCGTTGGTCAGATATATGTTTGTCCTGGGTTGTCCGGCGCGCGTCTCGCGCATCGAGGCGCCGACCAACCTCCGAGTGTTGGGCGAGTTGGTCTTTGAGCGCAGCCATTTGAACTTTGACCGTGCTCAGCTCCGTCTCGACTGGCCACCCTCGCGAACCTGATCCCGAAAATGAAGGCCACGGGAGGGCCAGCCTATCGAGGCATCGGTTCGCCCCCAGAGCCGCATCGAATTTGGGCGAAAGTCAGACAGAGCGAAGCCAGGAAGTGGGAGCGTGAGAACCCCTGCAGCTCCCCAGCGCATCGAGCAGGCCGCGGCCGCAGCATCCTCGAGCTAGTGCATCAGCAGTCCCTTCAGTAAAAAGCAGCGCAGCGGCCATGAAGAGCCCCGACAAGCAGGTTCGGTTATGTGGGACACGCCTAATTATTACGAGCACATCAACATAGCTACCTTGCAAGCACGCTCAGAAGCCAGCGGGCTTAACAAAGCCATGGCCGCCGCCATATTGAACCAGTATCAAGCATGCCGGTACACTGCGTTCAACCATATCGTGCAATACATTGGCTTCCCGACTCGAGCATCCCAGCAGGGTGCGGCTTCGCCACGCATCTGGTCCAGATGTACTGCAAGCGGCCCTTGTAGAAGTGGGTCCTAGCGGCCTAGCGCACCCGCGGGTTCACCTCAGCCTCTTCATAGACGATATATTGCTGCAGTCGTTTCAGTCGTGCAAGGAGCAGCTCTTGACAGTGCTGCTCCATGAGTGCTTTCACTTGCTCGCGTCCGTCAACAGGTCGCCGAAGAGAAGTCAGCGGCCCTCGCGTCGTCCAGGGAGGTCCAGGAGCGTCTAGAGATCGAGCTCGGCAAATACGCGGGTACACAGCAGAAGACGCAGGTCGCTCCGAATCTCGGCATCGATTTCCGCTCGGGGCTCGCTCGCAGACAAGGCACCGGGAAATCTGCCCCCAGGGCCCGACGCGCCAAGCTCTAAACGAGGACTTCGAGGCTCGCTGGCACCGAGAAGGCCCAAGGGGACACCAAGAAGGTTTACGACACAGGCCTCAACCAGGCCCACTTCTACAGTTCGGAGGTCGCGGGGGTCGACAACGTAGAGCTTCGCAAGTCGCAGTCGCTCTTCCTAGAAATCGCGGGCCCAGGGCCCACCGCGCGCTCGAGGGGCCTGGCTTTGCGCATCCTTGGCGGCCCCTGCTGGAGACCAGCAGTCGGTCCAGCTCGACTGTGGAACCAGTTTGCCTGGTGGGCGGCGACGGGCTCCGCGTCGCATGGTTTTGGCCCCCCAGAGCTGCCTTCACGTGCCAGGAGGCGTTGGACAACCG